GCAGTTTCTTACCTCAATAGGTTGTTCTCGACGATGAAACTTTTATCGTGTTTTCCGGGAAACTTAATATGACGGGAGCAAATATCAAAAGCGTTAGAATAAATTTTTTTTAAATAAATGCTTCGTTGTTTAGGGTCGAGGGTTGGGACTTTGTTGGGCGTAAATTGTAATGCGGTTCAATGATACTAGGGTTTCTGATAATTAATGTGGAGTCGTTCGTGATCTCGAAGTCATTTAAGCGTTGCAGACTATAAGTTAAAAGGCATTTACTGGGGCATTCGTATCGTTTGGAGCGCTCGTACAAAGTACTTCTGGTACAAGCTTTTGCTTTGAACAGCAGTGAGGGATTCTGTGACAAACTGAAACTCGGAGCATGTCGTTCGTTTGTTGAACATGTCATTTATTTAGCGACTGAAGCGAGCGCCGTCGGCACAGTCGGTAGTGCTCCGGCATATTTGATTTTTTCCATCGGCGTTCGAACGGTTACCGATTTGATCTCCAAACACACGGCACAATGATCGCAACACATCAGAAGATACTTGCCTTCGAGCACCGTGTAGAAGCTTCAATATTCCTACTTTTGTGTGTTTCTCCCACAGACTCGCCTGTATTTCCTGGTATTAAGCAATGGCCACCGGTGGTGCCACCGACAGGCTCTCGATCCGCGATCCAGCCCCATTACAATTGAGATCAGTGTACGATGCAGATGCCATTTCTCCGATGATGATATCACTGATCTCAATGACAATTGCTGGATCGCGTTTGCCCGCTTTGCGAATGCGGTCACTGGCGGCCATCTTTAGGTAGAGTTATATTACCTCTAGCCAAGGTACAGCTCCTGCAGCCACTGTCATCCATCCATGGCAGACAGCGTTTTGGCAAGTGTGGTGGCAGGCTGCCGTCAAAATAGGGTGGATGATATTTCGTGCTTGATTGAAATTGTTTGACGAAACATGTTTTTGAAACCCAGCGTGAACGGTAGCCCGATCTTTGAGGACCCGGTGAAAGTTTCACGAAATCGCAGCACCGGGGGAAAAGCAGCACAGCTCGCATCGAAAGTCGCATCAAAATTAGCATCAAAAGCAGACGCCTGTACGGAGTCTGCTTTCGATGCGAGCTGCGCTGCTTTCCCCCGGTGCTGCGCTTTCGTAGAACTTTCTCCGGGCCCTCAAAGATGAGGCTACCGTTCACGCCGGGTTTCAAGAATCTGCGTCGTCGAACGACTTGAATCAAGCACGAAATATCTCCCACGGTAGAGTGTACTAGATCCACGGTTATTTTATGGCACCCGGCCGCCATTGCGCTGTCCGCCATATTACTATGATGGCTAGAGATGATATAACTCTACCTAAAGATGGCCGCCAGTGACCGCATTTCGGTCCATAGGCGGAGCTGGTCAAACGCGATCCAGCAAATAGACATAGAGATCAGTGGATGATATAGTGATCGAAGTGGCCAGACTGAATTTCGGAAAGGGTCTATATCGGTATTTATCTATTTTTATGTAGTATGAAGGCGAATCCAATTTTAAAATCTGCGAAAACAAATTACTTTAATATCAAACCTTTTGTGCATAAAAAGCAGGACAAAATTTGCAGCGATTTTAATATAAGAAATATTTATTTGACCGAAACGGCCTTTCTGATCGCATGTTACGAAATGTGCACTGTCATTATGACCTATATCTTAATTCCTATTAATTCTGGCGTGGAGCTTCGCGGTATATTGAGAGTTAAATTTTGACAAACAGCAAGCTCAAGAATGATAAACGGCAATGATGATAAACAACACAAGATATATTTACATTAAAAATATGATAAGCATAAAATTAAACGATAAACAGCAAACATTATGTTGACACATAAATGATGATAAACAGCAAATGACCTGGTCTTGTAAAACTTTTTAAGCCCATTTTGTTTAACAGTTATAAATGCAGGTAACCTCCTTTTGTAAGTTGGGGTAGGAGGGAGTAGAACATTTTACTTCACAAAAAGTTAATTATACAAAATAAGGTCTCGCGAAATGTTGTAATACCCGATAATAATATGGAAGTACAACGATAGCGAAATGCAATAAAGAACCCACAATCAAATTTTCATAGACGACCTTCAAATTTTTTTGAGAATAATTCGTCTGACTTCAAATTGACACGCAGTTCAATATTACTGTTCCATTCCCATTCTAATGTACCCATAAATAAAATTTCCCTCCGCACCGTGAGAAAGCTGTGAGTAAACCTTTGTAAAAAGTTGCTTTAAATTTTATTTTGGCCTCTTTTGTTTTTTATTATTATTATTATCACGTGAAACGATAAATTTGTGTCAGTTTTAAAAGGTTTATTAAAAGAATATTAACAAAGACACTGAGTGTCGTACATCATAGAATGTAGGTAAAGTACATGGGTGTGAATAATGGGTCTGGATATTAACATTTATTTTAAACTATAGTGTCATTGACCACCGTCATCTAGTCAGGCTAAAAGGCGCTAATGGTTCGCCACTTTGCACTGGTCAGTTCTTTAATTCACGCCATTAAACTTTACAAAGAAAATCAAGAATGACATTTGAGATGATCGAATAACTAATTATTATTTGCCATTGACGTGCGAAAGTGTCGCGGTGTCCAATAATACAGTTTCATGACCACGATTAGTTTGTCCAAAGTGAAACTGTTTTTTGAGGCACAAAATGGAACTGTATTTGTAAAGTGTCAATAAGCCGCATTACGTAAGCAACAAACAAAAATTGGCGAGAACGAAAAGCGTCAGAAGATAAAGAATGATGTTTATCTAACAAAATATTTTTATAATATATATATATACTGTGTTGAATCAAGGATAATTAAAGGGATTCAAGAACCTAAATTGCAAAATCAAGGCTGCCGACTTCGCTGACCGGGCGGCGTTCGCAGGCGGTTTTCTTAATTGGTCCTGCACACCATCTTGTCGAAAGGAAATAATACGAACTTTTGTATTTCTTTTTTTTTTATCTTTATTTTTCTTAAGGTTCTGCGTTCGTAACGCAATTTACTCTTAGATAAAGATTTTTTTTTTCTTCAGCACGAAAACGAGTCTTCTGAAAGAGCACCGCGTACGTCTTGTGTCTCGTACGGCTCCCAAAACCTTATACTTTTTTTAACGCGAAAAGTTAAAAAAATAAATAATTGTATTCAAAACAAACTGAAAGAAAAGTCGAGCACACTTAAACACGCATGATCAAAGCCGTATCCTCAGCCATCGAGGCTTTTATTCATTCAATTTTTCTTTCTTTATTGATCTCACCTTTTAGCTACGTTAGCTTCTCTTAATGTTCGAGCAGCGAGCAAAAAGGGACAGTGTCAAATTACCGTGTCGCTTCCGACGAAAACAAAATATATTACGAATAAAATAAAGAGCGGCAGGTATCTGTTCATCCGACATTGTGCGATTGTTCTTCTAATTAGCGATTTTTCGATCCTATTACCTTATTACCCGTGTCCCCATCCCCCTCGTTTTCTTTTTAATTAGAGCTTCCATGGAGAGTTTGCAAAGGAACAATATACATACAAAAACAAACAAAAAATAAAAAAACACGATGATATTTTTATATATATATTTATATTATACGTACTTCGCACGTTGTTCTAATGAAAAAGAGCAGAGCTCTCGTGTTTTCGTTGCCACACCGTATGTGATTAGAGTAGCCTTAGTATTTCGGAACGCGTGACTTTACCAAATCCGCGCGTGCGCTAGACAAAAAAAAAAAAAATAAATAGCCGCAGTCTTATGTAAATTTGTGTCTTAGGTCCCACCCGCCCGCGATGGGCGAACGATGAGTTCTAATCCTATCAAAACACGCCTAGAAGCTCCGAACCTTCTGCTACATTAAGTGTTGTATTTTTGTGCTATTTTTGTGATCACGTGGCATCTGGTTTTGCAACGTTTTATTATATATATATATATATATATATATATATATATATATATATATATATATATATATATATATATATCACTGTTCCGACATACGTTTTCCCCTTATTAGTTCTTCTACGACCCGGTGGAACCAATCAAGTGCTGCCGAAACTGCATCGTCAGTACGATAGTCGTTTATCGTGCGTTTGCAATGCACTAACAAACAAAGCAACGTCTCTGGGTTCACTTTCCTGAAGAACACGGAAACAGCCAATCACGGCGTACAACACAAGAGTAATAGCCAATCACAAAATTAACAATTCGACTAGACAAAAAAAAATATGATGGGCGCAAGGATAGCTAGCATGACGTTTCGCTCGCTCATTGTTCCCTCAAACATCGCATTATTTTTTTAAAGATATATTTGTATTTTGAGCAGTGTCAGAGACACTTGTATTGTTTAGTCCGATTGGTCGTTCCGTGTTCTGCGGGAAACGGGAATTTAGAGGCGTTTCTTAGAGTGCGTGTACTCCCTCTACGCCCCTAAAACTGAAGGTGAGGCGTGGAAGTACACGGTGCCCGGAAACCCAGCGCGCATTCGTGGAGAGCGGTCACGTGGTGCGACGTGTAGGAAATGAGGGGAAGGGGGGGGGAGGGAAAGTGTAGAGCTTATGATCAGCCACAGCCGACGGAAAATCGGTGCGTGGCTTATTCTACGTTAACTCTCCCTGCTTCCGGGTCCCTTTCTCGTCGTTCTTCTTAGCTAATCACGCAAACGCATGGACTGGAAAGCTATAAAAAGGTGCTCGGGGCTCGGCACGTAAATACACGCGTTCAAACCAAGCGCGAAAGGTTGTTGACGATGGAAACGCCGCATAAATTGGTCCGCCCCAATGTACGTTTCTTTAAATATGGCAACAAGTTTCGACACCGAGCGAGAGCAAACGTCCCGCTCCATTTTGTTCGAAGATCGACCGCTCATCTTCAAACTCGCAAATACCTAGAGTGCTTCGTGGATGGGATGCGTCATCTCTCGCGACACCCAAATTTTACAACCAAATTCTTTTTCCGGTCGAAAAAAAAAAAGAAAAAAAGTGGGACTCACAGGATCTTTTCCCAGGCTTCCACTCCGTACTTGGTTCGTACAAGATCCTCCAGGGCACAGTGGACGAAGCCGTACTGTGAACAATAAAAAACAAAACAACGTGAAGTCAATAAAAATTAAAAAAAAAAAAACAAGTCCTTCGGGACGAGCAAATACATTTCGTCGAGAAAGATGCCACTTTGGCTACCTTCGTCGTCGTCGTTCAGCGGACAGCTCAAAGCCACTTTCACCCTTCGAATACAGCGTACAAACTCTAGTCTGCTGACAATGCGTCAGGTCTTCTTTGTGTCCACTCGCATTCGTCAGAACAAAAGCGGTCTTTAGAGATGTTCGAGGCACACGAAACTATAAATCAAGCATGCTTAGAAAACTGCATAAGGCGTGTCTGCATTTATTACAGCGCAGCTGTTAAAGGCTGGTTTCTCCAAGATCGTGTCCCCCGCAAAGAAACAAAGACACCGAACTCTGGACACCTACCGCCATCTATCAGCGACGGCGGCAAGCCACATATCTGATTGCCACCTTCGCTCATAGATGGCGGCAGCCTTTCCAGTCTGGCTTGCCGACTTGGGGCCGGCCTTTACTTTCCATTGCACAGCTCCGCTGGTCTTCCTTCTTCCTTCTTGGAAAGGCGAAAAGTTTTTTTTTTAATTATGTCAGCAGCCGTGTCTTTTGTATGACGTTTCCGCAGCGGGTCTGCAACTTTTGAGGCAGTAGCTTTCTGTCAACGCGGATCTTTAATAAAGACATTAAAATCAAAGCTCCCTTATCGGCTAAATTTGCCATTTTACCCACGTAACTCCCTACTAACTTCCCCTTAAGCTTCTACAGAGAACCCAGGTTCATTAGCGCAAGAAATGGCAACGGTTCTTTGATTCTTTTTTTTTTTCGTGTCGCTCATTTTAATGAGACACATATCGCATAAAAATGAGAGCTAAACCTACCGGAAACCCAACAGAAATAAAGCTTTTTTTTTTGCCCGATCATGTGGCTTAATTAGCGATAATAAAGCTACGCGACTAATTATTTCTAACAGTACGTTCGATGCAATTATGGGTACGAGCGCCTTTTTGTTTCGTTTATATATCCCATGTCTAAAAGAAATAAACAAAAATCGTTGGTATTTCATCTCTAATTAAATATGCAAATCAAGAACCACGCGCGCAGAGAATAAGAGGCCGTATATAATCACCGACGGCTCAAGAAACGGAATATTATGTTCCCGACTTTTGCTTTGTGGTTCGTTCTATTGCATTTTTATCATTTGATGCAGCGATTTCATTGACTGTGGACTGATAATAATTACACGCGTGGGACTCACCGGTACGTGTATTTTTTTAAGTTGTCCGTGCCCTACGCAAACAGCGTTCCTCCTCAATAGCATCCACTCGAGCTTGGTTCTCTACGCGAGACATCGCGAGTTTAGCACGTTAAAAACCCGTCGCTCTCGTAGAAAGAAAAGAAAAAAATGAAACTTGTAACACGAAAGGTAAAAAAAACTTTCCACCAGTCAGAAACAAAGTTCAATAATGGCGTGACAGGACCTCAAACAATGCGCCCTTTGCGACTCCGCAGCCAGCGAACGAAAGGACTGCTTTTCTAAAAGGGAGTGAGTACGTCCCAAAAACTGCATCGATCAGCGAGGCACGGATCGAAGCGTATGCGCCCCGAGGTATGTGCCCGAACACAATGAAGCCAGCTGTCGTGCGCAACCCCAGTTTGAAACTAGAATGTGAAGACGGAGATGGGACCGCAAGAATAGCGGCCTACGTTCTTCAGCGAGGGACTAGCTGAGCATGCGTTTCACGACTGTAAAATAAAAAGCCGCATTGCGAGCGCTATCTATTCTTCTCCTCTACCTTGCAAGCGATGTTATGGTTGTCTTCTTTTTATTTATTAAATACACGTTTCATTCCTTCACTCGTTTCTTTTTTACTTTGTAGTCATGCTTATGCCGGTAACCCGACCGACGAGCTCATTGGTAGCAACGTCACGTCGGCAACTTGTTCGAGAGCCGCTTGTTCGGAGCTTTAGGTTCCACTAGGATTGCTCGTTATGCTCCAGACGCGGTAGTATAGCCTCGAAACCCGCGAACAAGTTGCTTTTAGAAGTTCGGTCTCGGCGACCAACTTGGCGTTTGTTCACTCTAAAAATAATCTGTTCTTGAAAGGTTCTTCCACGCCCCAAGAACCCTTCCAGTTCGTGAAGAACGGTTTCGCCTCGAACACAATCGCCACCTGGCGAAATAAATAGGCAACAGGAAGATCGGAACTCTTTCGTTAGGGAAGGTTCTTCGTAACCTCATCGCTGTGTTGCTCGGAGCAACCGAGCCACACCGGGAGAGAAGCCAGCGGAGCGATAGGGCGCGCGGAAGTTTTGCCAAGTTCGCGAGATGTGACCACGTGACGGCGGACACCATTCACGATCCGGTTACTTATCTTGACTCGATCCAAGAGTCGCCCAAGAATCGTTGTCAGATATGTGGTTATATGTTTTTGAGAGCAGCTCTTAGGCGCCCATTTCCGGCTTGAGCGGCGACGCCGTCGCCGTCGGCGTAACCGCGAGTTGCATTATGGGACTTTTCCCGTAATGACGTCACACGTGACGTCGCGTGTGACATCACGAGGGAAAAATTTTCCCGCTAGACATGGCGGGAAATCTTTGTGCTAAATTTAGCGGGAAAAGTTTTCCGCTAAATTTAGCGGGGAACTTTTCCCGCTATATATAACGGAAAATTTTTACCCTCGTGACGTCACACGTGACGTCACGTGTGACGTCCCGAGACGTTTCTCGTGATACCACTTATACCGAAAAAGTTTTCCGCTTTAGATTGATAAAGAGATTGATGGAGAGATCTTTCTAAACTTGGCAGAGAGAATAGTAGAAGAATTGCTGCCTATATCAAATTGCGAGTCAAGGTGCAGAGGCTAATTAAATAGCTGAAGAAAGGCAGTTAAGGCAATGAACTTTATTTCAAATTTGAAGTTTTTTTGTTAAATTCAAGGATATTTAAGATTGCTTGACCCGTCAAATTTGGCTTATGTTTGTGACAGAAGCTCCAACAGGGTCTATGGAAGTTGCAAGGTGTTTACAGCCACAAAGATATAGGCTTCTAGAATGTTACCGATGTTTACAAAGGCCAGTAGAATAAGTAAACTGATCCATTAGCCCGAGTGAAAGGGGGCGCGAGCAAAGTTTGTAACAGCCTTGGAAGATGACATTCTGAGAAAAATGCAATAAGCAGCAGTATTAAGGATCCGTCCATTCATATTGCAAACTGTAGGCGATCTTTTCTTTTTAATTCTTTTTTCCAGAACACCGAATCGTTTACAACTAGACGATGCCATGTGTGTATTTCAAACAGGCTACTTCTTCCTGGTAGACTCAACTGGACGCTAAGCTTAAGAAGACGTTTTGCTTTTATCATTATATTGGTATTACTTCTGTCCTAGCTTAGTACAAGTATTGTAGCAGACCCACTGTAACCCTAGTCACCTCCATTGTAAAATTTACTGTGACACGCACCATTAACAAGGTGAGAAAAGAGAGGTCACTGCTTACATATCTGCAGAAAGTTGAGCAAAACAATGCGAAATACGGTAGTGAGAAAGAGAGACACAAAGTAAGAACTCCTCCACCGTTATTTCATCTAAAAGACCAAATGGACTGAATTAACTTCTTTGCAACCTGATTCAGTGATATAATAAGAAAATATAAAACTAAACTGGAAGAAACAGTGGGGCTGTTCTCAAATACAGTTATTCAGTTAAGTCATAGTTGCTCTTTCAAGGTTAACATGTCAGACACTCTGATGGTCTATTTGGTCTATTGCTATATGTGGAGACAATGTCTTCAGTTCCCCTGCACAACCTTTGATACAATATAGTGAGCACCCAGGCTATCAATTGCAATTTCTTACATTACAAAAAATACATTTCACAGGATTTATTATAGCACACAATTTTGTCCTTCCAATTTTATTAGATCTGTTTGGTGTTGTATACTTTAGGTTTCACATTACACCAGGAGATGATGACAAGGGCATTGCAGTTCAAGGAAGGTTGGGGCTGTTGAGTGCTCCAAGTCTGCGCCAAATCTGGAATTTCTGCTTAACAAAAGGCGGAAACGTCCCAAGCGAGGAGAGTGTTCACCACTTGAAAGACCACTACTGAAGTTACTAAGCTGCACCAGGCCTTCTGCATTCCGAGGGCGGTAAATTTTCCCGCTAGATTTAGCGGAACAGTTTCCCCGCTGTATTTAGTGCAAAAAATTTCCCGCTAAATTTAGCGGGAAATTTCGCGAAACTTTTTTGCTGAATGGGAGAGAGCAAGAGAGGAGGAAGGGCATAGCCTCCCGTCCGTACCTTCCCCTCCTCTTCCTCAAGAACTGTGCTCCGATTCGGCCTTAGAGATAACTGTAAACGTCCTTCTCTTTTTTTTTTTCCTCTTTTCTTTTTCTATCTTACTCTTTGTGCCGAGACTCCGTCCAACCAAGAAGGCATGAAACCAAGAAAACTTTGCATAGTGCACGATCAAGTGATCATAAGACTGGTTCACGTGATTTTACTTGTGAAACAAAAATAAATCTAAAAAACGCATAAAAAAAAACGGGCGCACAAATTAAATGCACGTTTACCGCACACGCCCGCGCATGCTCGTGAGTTTTGATGGGATCACCGAAATTTTTCAGGGAAAGGGCGAATGGGAGCTTTTATTACAGAGAAACACACGCGCCAACGGTTTCGAAAAATGTTTACGTTGATCGCGATACATTCTGCTTCTGCTTTTTTATACCGCCAAACGAGACCCTTTTGTAGGCGCAGCTATTGGTCTTCATGTTTAATAAACTCGCCACCCCGACGTCGCTTATCATGCCTTAAAATTACGGGTCCACGCGGCACTGCTGGACGAGCTAGGTACATAAACGTCCTCTCATCGCCTATGTTCCCGAGGGAACGCTCTGTGTTTGCTGCCCGGCAAAGGCCGGGTAAGGAAGACCTATATAGAGACGAAAGAAAGAATTCACCGAGGAGGACCACCTAATACCAAAAAACAACTAAAAAAACGTGT